CGACGTGCTCTGCTGCTGCGTGTTGCTGCGTCTCTTCCAGGTACTCCTTGGAGCTCACCTCATCCGCTGCCTCTCGGGGCCCGCTTGGGCGGTCCTCGTCGGCCCCGGGGGATTGGACGGCCACTTCTGCCGGCGGCAAGGAGTCTCGTGCGGCCCCGAGGCGGGGAGAGGAGGGAGGCGTGGCGGGGGCGGGGATCGAGGCGGGGTCTGGGGTGGGGGTGTGCGGGGGGGGGGGGGAGACAGGACGCCCCCGAGCCGGAGTATCCGAGGGGCACCGCATCAGGGTTGGCTCAGGATGGCTAGGCACCTCTGCGGCGCCCCGGGTGCGGTCTCCTGATCTGTCCCGATGGGAGGGGGGGGGCTGCTGTCTGCGGGGGGTCTGAACCTGATTGACGCCTGGGGGGTGCTCGACCACGGCCAGTGACTGGGCTCCCGCGCCCTGCACTGAGTGGTCTGCATCCCCCTCGATGCGAACAGATCGGTGGATCTCCCCGCGTTCCATGGCCCCGCCTGGGGGGGGCCGTGGGCGACAGCTGAGGCCCGCGCTGCCTGTCTGCGCTGGCGGCGAGGCTGCGGCAGGCCGTCGCGCCCAGGGGGGGCGGAGGGGGGCCAACCGCGGCCCGCGGCGCAGCATACGGGCGCCCCCTTGAGCGGTGGGAGACTGCCCCAGAGGGAGCAGGCCCACCAGACGGCTTGAGCCGGAGGCTACGGACCTGGCGGGGTTACGCGAAGAGTCTAGAATTCCGCGCAGATTTCCTAGATCTGACAGGACCCCCTGGCGGAACGAGCCAGGGGGTAGGGTCCAGCGCAGATTCAAAAGATCTGCGCGGACCTCCAAAAGTGTGGTTTCATGCTGATATTTCCTCGACGCACGGCTCCGAGCCGAGATAGACCCAGAGCGCGGTCAATGCTCGCGCCCAAGGCTCCGCCTCCGCGAAGAGAACGCCTCGCGGCCAAGAGCGCGGAGCGCAGCGCATGCATGGCCATGTTCGCGCCAGGCGGAGGCCATCAGACACCTGCGCCCGCAGCGAGGGGGTGCGTCAGGGGGGGGGGGGGGGCAATCGCGTCGTGAAAGAAACACAACGGGATGACTTCTGCGGTTTTCGGACTCCGAGGGCTCTCGCAGGGCACTGGATTTTCAATAAATAACTTAGGATCGGCCTGGGGACATTGGTGGAGCTCCCTATGGGGCCACGAAGCGCTGCACTGGGTGGGTGAAGCGCAGGGAGGAGGGGGAGGAAAAAGGAGGGACCGTCTCTTCAAAACGAGGACCCAATACCACAGGATGGTCGGGAGAAACAACTCAGGATCGGCCCGGGGACATGAGCCCGAGCATCCGAGGCTCGCACTGTGAAAGCACACGTCGGGGGTCTGGGTCGTCCGCCAACCGAGAGGGGCGTAGGTCGGCGGCGAGCGAAGGGGGGGAAGCGAGAAGGAGAAGGCATTCTGAGAAGGCTCGGACGTCCCCGGGCCTTCTTGGAAGTTGCCTAAGCCCTCCCCGAAGACATAACAACTTCTCAAAGGCGCCAGGGCTTCTGAGAAGTCCCGCCGCTTTCTAAGAAGGTTCTCTCCTTCTCGATTCCCCCCCTCGCTCGCCGCCGAATCGAGGGGGGAACCGCTCGGGTGGAGAGACATCGAGCTGGAATCGGCCACGCATCGCCGATGGGTCGACGATGGGCCCCCGATGGCGCATCCGCACGCTCCCGGGAGAAGTGCGCTATCGGGCCCCTGTCGGCGACGAATGCGCGATTGGGGGTCGACGCATCCCCCCTGAGCCCTTCCCCGGGTAGGCCGAGGGGAAGGAGGGATAGAAAGGAGGAGGGAAGAAGAGAGCTCCCCTTTCCCCCAGGCCATCCTTCATCGTGACTTTTGTCCGTCAAGCGGCTCCCCAAAGTTCTGGATCCCTCCCCAGAGACCGGCGTTTCATCCTGAGTCGCGTTTTGACTGTCTGGGGCCCGGCGCGGGCCCCTGGAGGCCGATCACTTGCAAAACCCAGTCAGTGGAGGAGGGGGGGGGAAGCTCTTCCCCTCACCTGAGGTTCGACGTCACGAAACACATGAAGCATGTTTCGAGCCCCATCGATCCGCGAGGGCCCTGGGGCCCGGAGCAAAACGGCACCCCCATCTGCCAAGAATGCGCGACGCCAGGATGCCAGGATCGCACGATCCTCCTTTAACGTTGGGCAGACATGAAGGCGGCGCTTGTTGAGCTCTTCGCGAGACCAAAAGAGGCGCCGCCTAAGGCGGCGTGAGCAACAAGCTCATGCAGCGGACGGGCGCACTTAAACTTACGGTCCTCTTCCCCCTCTTCCTCCTCCTCCTGGCCCTCCTGGGCCCGCTTCGGCGGGCTGCCGGTTTCGCGGGGTGGCTCGGCGTGCCTTGGCGGCACCGGCTGGACCCGTGGGGCCGTCCGGCTTGGCAGCCGACGCCTTCAGGGACAACCCCCTCCTGGCCCTCCTTTTGAATGCGACGGCGAGGGGTCTGCTCGAGAGTCCGTCCGCCGCAGTCTTTTGGGTTCGGCAGTGGGCAGGCGGGTTTTTCACATATCAGGCGGCGCACCGCTTTAGACGGCGCGGGCTGCGCGCCGCCGCGATCGCAGGAGCAAAAGGTGCTCCACATCATCATTCGACGACGACAGTGACAGGGCTATCGGTGCCCTGGGTTTCAAATTGGTAGCGGGGCCGTGACAAGACCACGGACGACGATGTCGACATCGTGGGGAAGCGGAGCCGCTGGCGCTACTGGAGGCCTCCGCTTGGACGTCCCGACGTGGGGCGTGGAGCCCGACAAACTATTGGCGCACAAGTTCGACGTCGGGTTCTTTACCAAGAGCTAGTAGCTATTAGCTTCAGGACAAGTGCGTTGCGGGACCCCAACTGATGAGAGCGTCGGGGGCCAGGGCGCGCAGACTGGCACAGGCGTGCCCCGACACCGACACAATCGACGAGGTCGCGGACGCAGGCAAGCGGACGGGCTGGTCGCGCGTCTTCGAGTTTCTCTTGTCGAAGCTCGACCTGTCCAGTGTTCACGAGATGGGGAACTCTGCTGATAAGTTCTTCAACAAGCTCCAGCGGGAGCCAGGGGAGGGATTCCCCGACTGGACGGCGCGCTGGGAAGCACGCGAGCGGGATCTCCTGTCACAGCTGAAGGCGGTTGACGACACGGTGGAGGAGGTCGTCGCAGCGCCGTTGAGGACGCGGTGGTACTTCGCCGTTCGCGGTTGACGCCAGTGGCCAGAGGGTCACGGAGATGGCGGGCGGCGACTACGACTTCGACAGGAAATACAAGGCACTCTGCACGCGGCACCCGCTGGAGGCGCTGCAGGAGCTCGACAGGGCCCGCGACAAGAAGGACAGGCGTGCCAGATTCTACGGCGAGGCCGAGGAGGCCGACCAGGAGGTCAACGACTGGGAGGACCGGTCCGAGATCGCGGGCATCGTGGATGAGCTGGTGAACTTGGCTGACGAGGAGGACGCGCTGCTGCTGGAGGACTCTGAGCCGTTCGCCGAGCCCGAGGACAGAATCCACGCGGAGTTCAAGCAGATGGGCCGGAACTTCAAGGACGCCAGAGACCTCATCAGGAAGCTGAAGGTCGCGCGGGACTTCTACTCTGCGCTGACTCCGCGTCCTCCTGAAGGACCTCCACGGCCTCGTCCGCCTCGTGGCGGCAGGGGTGAACAAGGACCTGGGCCCGTGCGAGACCGGCGCCGGACGCGGTGTCTGGCTCGCCGCGAGTTCGGGCACCAGGCCAAGGGCTGTCCTGAGAGAGCCAAGGGCCAGGGCCAGAAGCAGCCTACAGAAACGAACTCGCTCGCGCTCCTTCAGCTGGGCGAGCTGGCGTTTCTGCCGGGCGACTCGAGCGGCGTCTGGGCGATCCTCGACTGCGGGGCGACGCGGAGCTTCATCGGGGTCACGATGGCGGAGCACCTGGCCTACGACACGGAGGAGACGCACGACCTGGAGCTCAACCTGGCTGAGACGACGAGGTACTTCACGTTCGGGGGCGGCCAGCGCAAGAGCTCCATGGGCACTGTAGCGGGCGACAGCTTCCTCGGCAACGGCAAAGAGACGACCGAGATCTCCATCATGGACAACGACGCGCCGCTGCTGATCGGGATGGATATCCCGGGGTCTGAGCACGCTGGCGCCCATCGACTGCGGGATCCGCTACTTGATGATGCCGAAGATCTCTAACAGCATCTCCCAGTACCGCAGAATTCGGAGCGGCCACCTCGCGGTCAACGCGACGACGTCTACTTGGCGGCAGCAGGTGCCGCAGAGGCCCCCGACCTCCGACGCGGTCGCCCAATGCCACACCTTGGCAGACCAGGAGGGCCAGACCGGGTTCGTGGGCGCTGCTGTGCTGGAGGACTCGGATGAGCCCCAGCCGGGCGCAGCGGAGGCGCTCCCGAGCTAGGGGCAGCGCCCACTGCTGGGCCCGAGGACAACAGATTTCACTTGTCCATTGGGGGGCCCGACGAGAATCCCGAGAGGTCGCTTTTCGAAGATGGCTCGAGAGATTCCGAGAAGCCCCCACCGACAAATGCGTTTCCAGCCCCCACCCCCCACCCCCTTCCTTCAAACAACGCCCTCGTGCTCCGTGCAGAATTCTTCAAGATCCCCCGCGGCCCCTTCCTACGCCGCGAAAGTCCCCAAGAACCCCTGCGGCTACTCCTCTTCCGTGTACTTCATTGAGGACTCCAGGGGGCGCGACTGCAACTACTCCGAGAACTCCGGGAGGTTCGACATCGACGACTCCGAAACCTCCAACATCATCGAGGGCTTCTTGGGATAAGTCTTTACCCATCGACTCCGACGATCACGAAGTCACCAACATCATCTGGGATACCGACGAGGACGAGATCGAAACCTCCGAAACGACAGACAGCACCTCCCTCCGATCCTGATGACTTTGATGCGTACCGAGCGCTTTCGGCTCGAAAGGGTATTCAATCCAGAAGACATCTGCAATTTCCATACTCTCCAGATTCAGCGGATGGGATGTCGCCACGGCACAGGCTCGCTGCCTTCGGGTGCGCCACCGCCGCCTTCACCCGCTTCAACGCGGCCTCGGGACCGCAGAACGACGCCATTTTGGTCGAAGCTGCCGACCACATCGACAGCCAGCGCGCCTACTTCCGCTCAGGTTCAGCCCGAGGCCAGGGTAATCCAAGGCGAGTGCGCTTCTGTTTCTCCGACGGACGTGGTTCGGGGCGCGGCCGAAGCCGACCCCGCGGCGACGCTCGCCCAGGAGGACGCGTCCAAGGCCGAGGGCCTTCAGAGGCGCGGGCGCTGCGGCCAACCGAGTCGCGAGAGGAGCGGATGATCGTGCACGGACGGGCAGACGCACTACTGCCTCCTGGCGTCCTGGTGGCGCCCGGTCTGCCCGCCCCGAACTTCGCGCAGGACTATCGACCCCCGCCGCGGAAGCACCAACAGCCTCGCGCTCGTGCCCCAGAGGTTCCGCCGATGAGATCGGCAAGCCCCGAAGCCAGCTGGCTCTGCCGAATCGAAGTGATCCACGTGAGGTGGAGGCGCGTGCTGAAGAAGATTCTGACGCAGCCGGAGCACGAGCCCTCGTCGGAATCCTCGGAGGTGCTGGACGACACGCCCGACAAGGAGGGGACCGCCAAGATAGGCCGCGAGAAACTCTGAGTCGCGAGGACCTGGGCGCCCTGCAGGGCGCGATCGACCAGCGCGACAGCAGCTACAAGAAAGACATCGGCGACGACGTCAACAACCTCGCCCGTCGGGGACGCTTTGACCTTCTGGAGGTCTGCGCGCCACCTACGTCACGTCTGGCCCAAGCGGTGCACGACCAGGGTGGCCTCGCCGTCCGCGCGGGAGTGCACTACGGGTTCGACATGTCTACCAAGACGGGGGTACACCGCTTGGTGCCATGGATTCGCCAACACCGACCTCGGCGGATCGTCGCGAGCCCCCCGTGCGCCGCTGACTGCGAGCTGCAGACCTGGAACCAGAAGACACCAGAAGATCGAGAAGGACTTCGCAAGAAAGCGCAGCAAGCTCGGCGGATTCAACACGGGCGCGAAACGGTCATGTCGATTGGACTCCAGCACCCTGGGGCGGAAATTGACCTTGAACAACCGCAGCGGTCGCAGAGCTGGTCACGTTCGGACGCGCTCAAGCGCATCAGAGAGCAGACCTGCGAGACGCTGGTCACCGACTGCGCCTACGGCCGTAAGTGCCCGCGCAGCGGGCGCCTTCTTCCCAAGGTATGGCGGATTTGCTCCACCGACCCCGAGCTCCAGAGGAGCGTCGGCAAGAGGTGCAGCAACCGCCCTGGTCGACATGACAACCGCGAGCACGGTGCGATCCTGAGCGGCAAGATCGTTGCTTCTACTGCCTTCTACCCCGAGGCCATGTGCAAGGCCTGGGCAACGCGCGCGCTACGAGCTGGTGGCGGAACAACGGCAGGGGCCTCAGCACTACTGGCGACCGACCTAGAGGGCGACGACCTGATCTTCGAAGGCGACGGCGCGGACCAGGAGACGGAGGATCCACGGGCGCCCAACGAGGAGTTCGACGGGGACGGTTTCAAAGCAATTTCCAAGGAGGAGGGCCACACCACCACCAAAGAGGCGCAGGACATTGAGTTCCGCCTTAGCCGTCCCCATCGCAACCTTGGCCATCCCTGCGCCCGCACCACGCGAGAGATCCTGGAGAACTCGGGCGCCAGCCAGCAGGTCCTGAAAATGGTCGAGAACTTCAAGTGTCGCGCGTGCGACTCCTCCGCGCTGCCGGAAGCGGTTCGCACTTCTGCTGGCGTTGAGATCCCCGAGGTCTTCGAGGGGATGGGAAGCGACGGTCTCGAGTGGACCGACCCTCTGGGCGACGCAATCTACCTGCTGAACCTCGGCGAGGGATCAGGGATTACTCAGGTCGCCAACCGCGGCGACAAATCCCAAATCAGGCAACAGGTCGCCCGCAGATGTTCTCGAGACCTGGAGATCCTGGACGAACCACTATCGAGTGCCACGTCTGGTGCGATGCGATGCTGAAGGCTGTCCCCGGGCACCGAGATGTTCATTGCTCCTGGAGCGCAGGATCCAGCGAACGTGGAGCACAGGATCCAGCTCTTCAAGCGCACCTTCGCCAAGTTCCGGAAGCAGAACCACGACTGCGACGTCGACGAGGCCATCAGCTACGTCGTCCACGCCATCAACGATCTCGATAAAGTGGGGAGCCATTCCCCGATCGTCCACGCGTTCGGCGTGGGAGGTGCGCAGTCCCCAGGCATCGCCTTCGCCATCGTCGACGACAGCCACGGCGAGACGCGCGAACTGCGACGACTCTCGGCACGCCAGAGCTTCATAGAGGTGGAATATTCGGAGCGACGTCGCAATGCTGAGCACGCGCGAAGTCGTGTTGCGACCCGCCGGAAACCTGGCGAGCTCGCCTACTACTGGCACAATAGCCGCGGGCCCGTGAAGGCTACGTGGTACGGCCCGGCCCGCGTGCTGGTTCAGGAACAGCGAATCCTGGCTGGCTCCACTCGGCCTACTTCAATGGTCCAGATATCACGCGAAGGTGTTCTCCTGCGGCGCGCCCCAGAGCAGCCGCGGCCGGCCGCCGAGGCCAAGCGCATGGTCGTAGAACTCCGCTACATGGAAAGGCGTGGGACATCACTGTCAGACCTGATGGAGGCGGCTCGCCGCGATACATTCGAAGACCAACGAGAGCCGGCCCAATATTCAGCACTTCGAGCCGCAGGTGATCGCGCCTGCCGAGCTGCCGGAGACCACCCGCGACACCGAGCCGATGGAAGCGGAAGCAGATGATCCTGGACTCGACGAAGCACCTTCCGAATCTGAAAGCGAGCCTACGCCGCCAGAACCGACGCCACCTTCTCCTTCCATTATCTCGACCATTGAACGGCCAGTGTCCAAGCAGCCTCGACTGACGTCCCCTAGAGCGACATCACCTACGCCACCGTCGGACCCACCAGGACGGCGTTGGAGCATGCACTCGAAGGACGACGAGGCCACCTACCGAACTCCACCAGCTGATCGACGTCACGACCGACCAGGTCCCTATTCTGAAGGCAAGCCGCCCTCCACGGACATCGGCGACCCGACCGACGACGAGCCCTTCACCCTTAAACGAGACAGCGAGCGGAGCAGAACTCGAGTTCATTGATGAGAACATGATATGCGAATTCGACATGCTGAAATCAGAGCTTACGGACAGTGAAGGTCGCCGCAGGCTCACTACCCAGACGCTGGACTGCTGCGTGGCGAACCAGAAGCGGAAGGACAAGATCGAGTTCCACTGGAGCAAACTGTCCTCCTCCAAGAAGGACGAGTTCCGCAAGGCTACCACGAAGGAGGTCACCAACTAGAAGCAGTACAAGGGCGTGCGACCGGTCCCGACCTCCGAGGTGAAGGACCCTGCGGACGTGATTCGCTGTCGGTGGGTGCTGACCCGCAAGAGCGACGGAACGGCGAAGGCTCGCCTCGTTCTCCTCGGCTACCAGACCGAGGACATTGGACAGGAACCGACGGCATCGCCGACAGCCTCACGCAGAGCGAGGAACATCCTCCTCACGGTGGCGGCCGCGAGCTCGTGGAACATCGTCAAGGGCGACGTCACCAGCGCGCTCCTCCAGGCCAACGACCTCAAAAAGGACCTCTTCGTGGAGGCGGATGAAGCTTTGTTGCAACTTTCGGCGTCCGACCTGGTGAAGTACTTCGGGTCGTAAAGCTGGGTTATGGCATCGGAAAGGCACCAAGGAAGTGGTGGCAGACCGTGAGGCTGGATTTTGCGAAGCTCGGTCTGCAGGCGTGCGACTTGGAACCTGGCCTCTGGTGCTTGCGCTGCCCCGAGACAGCTCTTCTGGGCCTCGTGATGTGCCACGTGGACGACTTCATCCTCCTGGCGACCGAAGCCACCTCCCTTGGCGAAAGGCACTGAAGGGCATCAAGGAACTCTATACCTGGGGCACCTGGAAGGACATGGATGACGGGATCGATTCCGTGGAGCAGTGCGGGGTCTCGATGGTGGCGAACGACAGGGGCTTCTTCCAGCATCAGCAGAGCTACATCGATAAGCTGATGGAGATCATCCCGAAGCACCCTAAGGCTCGACCCAGCGATCGACTGTCAGAAGCGGATCTGGGTACTCTACGGACCTGGTGTGACGCGTTATCTTGGCTGGACGCGAATACACTACCATGGATGTCCGCGCCGGTCGCAGACGTACAGAGCAAGATCCCTACCGGTGACTACAAACTCTTCGGGATCGCCAACAACATCACCAAGACGGTCAAAGCCAACAGGACCGACGGGATCCAGATCTTCCGTCACAGTCTGCCTGGGTGCGGACCAGGGCTTCCTGACTTTCGGGTCTTCACGTGGTGCGACGCTGCGTGGGCTAGCCGACCCGATGGACATTCTCAAGGCAAACATGTCACGGCGCTCAGCACTTCCGAAGGGCCCTTCCACCACGCCTGCGACTTCACGGTCCTGGACTGGGGTTCTCGTAAGCTGAAGAGGGTGGCCCGCTCAAGCTTATCGGCAGAGATTCAGGAGGCTAGCGACGCCGAGGGCGAGCAAATGATGGTACGACTGGCAATGTATGATACGAGGTACGAGGTGCTCTACGGGAGGTTTGATCTCAACGACCGCCGAGGAGCTCTCCATCGTGTACCGGGTGCCCTCGTGACGGACTGCAAGGCGTTCTACGACGGCGTGGTGACGTCCGGGTCGGCCGGGTTAGGCCTCGACGAGAGGCGGACGGCCATAGAGGCGCTCGCTTTGCGCCGCGCCCTCGAGGAGGGCGGTACCATCGTACGCTGGGTGCACAGCCATGCTCAGCTGGCCGACGGCATGACCAAGGCCAGCCTTCAAGCGTTCAACGTGCTCCACGCCTTCCTGAAGAACCAGAGGTGGAATATTGTCCACGACGAGAGGTTCCTCTCGGCGCGGAAGAGGTCTGCGCTCGGGAAGGGGATCTTCGACGAGACGACCGACACACACCACTCGGAGGCGAAAAAGATAATGGAGAGCAGGAGGCGCGATCGGCCAGCTGCCAGTGACGTGGCTGCAGCCGGAGCCACGGACAAGGGGCTCGAGCAGATCTCTTTTCCCCCTGTTTGAATGTGAAGGTGAGGGGTCTGCTCGAGTCCGTCCGCTGCAGCCTTTTGGGCTCGGCAGTGGGCGGGCGGATTGTTCAAAGATGAGGCGGTGTACCGCCTCAGACGGCGCGGGCTGCGCGCCGCCGCGATCGCAGGAGCAAAAGGTGCTCCACATCATCATTCGACGACGACAGCGACAGGGCTATCGGTGCCCTGGGTTTCCGACCCCTGGGCCCGCCTCCCCCGGAAACGTCGCACCCCGACACAGGCGGGCAGGGGCGGGCAGGGGCGGCGCGCGGAGCCCGTACTGGTTCTGCTCCACGGCATCGATGGACAGCGCGAGGAGGGCGGCGCAGACCAGCACCTCCACCCGGACCCGAGCCAGGGGGGGAGGAGGCGGGAGGACGACGAGGGGCAGGAGCGACGACGACGACAAGGAGGGGGAGGAGGAGGAGGAGGAGGAGGAGGAGGAGGAGGGAGACGACGACGACCACGACGACGACGACGAGGAAGGAAATGGAGGAGGGAGACGAAGACGACGACGACGACGACGACGACGACGGCAGCGGCGGCGACAGCGGCGGCAACGGCGGCGGAGACGACGAGGGCGTCGATAGACAGTGAGAGGATGGCGGCGGAGACGAGCACCTCCGCCCGCCCGAGCCTGGGGCCCCGAGAGCCCCTGCAGGCCGGAGAGCCCCAGAACGACTATAGAGCCGGACCTGTGCCAGAAGAACATCCCTCAAAAACATGAGACCCCCTCTCGGCAAACACAAACTGAACTCGCAAGGGTACCCTCCCCAGGATGCACAGGAACATCCAACAAACACGAAGAACATCAGGGTACACTCCCCGACCCCACCTCGATCTTACACCTCGGTCCGACTGCAGCGAAATTATCGCACTCAGCATGCATCGAACAAAAACAAGCAAATTTGCCCTCGACCAAGAGATTAGACACTTCGCGCTTTCTCCTGACAAGGACCCGCTGCCCAAGCTCCTCAGATCGGGCGCGGGAGGAGCCAAAAAAGCGCTGCAGGCCAGGGAGGGAATCGGCTCGCCTCGGGTCGGATCAGATCGAGATCGGAATCTTCTATGGCAACTCGTGGGAGCCTTTCATCTTGCTGGCTCTTGCGAATCGACCACGCCAACCGACGCTAAATCGGCGCCAATCGATGCTGAGTCGACGCGTTCATCTTAGATTTACCAGACGCTAGCGCGCCCTATCGCACTCTAAAGAAGGAATTGCGAGGACAAACAACGAAGGAATCAATGCTTCAGGATCGCGCGCGCTCGCGCTTTCTCCTGGCGATGACCCGCTGAGGTGGCGACATCCGAGCCCTGCCCCCACCAACCATCGATTCTGCAGAATCGATGGGAGGCGGCGGGTAGGGCTCGGAACTCGCCACATGTTCGACGAGTTCCAAATCTAACCCCCGCCGCTCATCGAGTTGCCTGAATCGTTGATCGGCGAGGGTAGGGTTCGGATTACGCCGCCGACTGCTGCCCAAACTCCTCAGCTTGAACGCGGGAGAAGAAGCCGAATAGCGCTGCAGGTCAGGGATAGAATCGGCCCGCCTCGGCTCGGATCAGCTCGAGGTCGGAATCGAGGCATCTGGGGATCGGGTCAGACCGCGTCGGACCGAGTGCAGCCCGAGGGCGGCTGAGAATTGCAGCCTCCGCCCGCTCCGAGCCCGAGGGTCCGAGAACACTCCGCCGCCCCTGCCGAGGTCGACCAGGTCACCCTCTGCCCATGCAAATCGGCGGCGAGCCCAGGGGGAAAGGCAGAGGGGGCGGGGCTTCTGAGAAGCCCCGGCCGCCTTCTGAGGCCCGACGGGCGCGCCGCCGGGTTAAGGAAGAACGTCATGATGTAATTTCCCTGCCATCCTCTCGTGGTGACAAAAATCGCACCACGGATAATTCTTGCTGGTTTCGGCTTCTGGGACCCCTCGCTGGGTTCCCGGACCGTCAAGAAACGGCTCGAGGTGAAACGCTGGTCCCGAGGAAACAGTCCTGACCTCTGGGGAGCCACGTTGCGAAATCAACAACGACGTCGGAGGCCTGGGACGGGGGAGAACTGGCTCAGAGGGGGGGAGGCATCGGCCTGGAATCGGGCCCCCGATGGCGGGTCCGCACGCTCCTGGGCGGGTTCAGTGCAATGGCAGTGGGGGGTCGATGTACCCCCCTCGAGCCCCCGCGCAATCGGGAGGCTCGAGCGCTACGCCCATGTTGCGCGCGAGGCACCGCTCGCTGGGCCCGCCCTTGCGCGCACGAAATGGGCATCCGGCCCCTCTGCGGTACCATTGCAGCATGACTGTACGAGCGCCGAGAACACGAGCCCCGCCGCCGAAGGCCAAAGGCCTCGTGGAGGCATCCACTACGCAGTTCCTTCATTGCACATACCCTCGTGGAGAACACACTGGCACCCCACGAACACGTTCCTTGACCTTTTTCCAAGGAGCGACCCGAAAACCAGAAACCAGACTTTACACTTGTACTTGAGAAGAAACGGTAAGAGGAGGAGCAGGAGGGGGAGGAGGACCAGCCAGCTGCCAACAAGCCAACCAAACGGCCGATGTCAGCCCACAGCCAGACTGTTGAACCCAGCAGGATTGCACGCGTATTTCGCCCCGTCCTTCGTTCGATGCGTCCTCGCCCGCAGGTCATTTTACTATCCCGTTCGGTCTCCATCACCCCCCCTGAACCGCGTGGCCAGCGCATGCTTCTGCCTTTGGGCCTACTTCCTCCTTGCTTGTCTATGCCTTGTCCATTCGACTCTCTGTGGAGGCCGCGCTCAATCCCACCCGCCCTCTGGGCGCAGGCGGTCTAGCGAGGCTCCTTTTCCAAGCCCCTTTTTCCCCGTCGGGGAGTTCATCATTGTTCCCAATTGAAATACACCCCTTCCCCCACCCGGCCCCCGCCCGGCCGGCAGCCAACCCACCCCATGCGGACCACCCACCCCGCCACCCACTTAAAAACAATACAAACCGCACTCTGCCTCCACATTTGGAGCGCGCGCGGCCAGCCCGACGCTGCCCCCCACCGCCCGAACAACAAGAAACATGTGAACTACAAGTGATGTGCCTATCTAGCGTCATCTCAGGCAAACGTGTCTTGGTATTGATGGATTATTTGTTGTTCTGCTTGTCTAGTAGCTCACGAGAGCTGGTGAATGCATGGCTAAGTAAGTCCGTTAAGCGGAACTACTCTAAGCGACAAATAATGTATCCGCATTCGCGCGCGCATGGCAGGCCCGGCCGGCCGGCTGGCGCGCGCTCTTGCTTGAGTAGCTAGGCGCAGCTGCGGAGACAGTCCCTCCGCGCGATCTATGCCCCGCCAGAACTCTGCAAGGGAAAAGAATGGAGGGCTGTATAAGAAAACGAGGGGAGCATTAGGAATGACTCCCCCCGCGGGCACCCAGCGTGACATCGCCGCGCCAGGATGGGCGCGCCAGCACAATGGCTGACGCCCCAAGCAGCAGGGGCGGGACATGCTGGACAACCTTCAGCGAGTCTCGTGGGCGCCGGACAGCCTTCGCCCCTTCCCCCAGGGCCACTTTGGGCCCCCCGCAGCGCCAAGCCCAAAAAGCATTTTACGGCGCAGGGATGGGAGCGCCCCTGTCACCTCTCAGCGGGGCAAGTCAAGGGCCCCGGACACGCCCCGCCCCAAAAGGCGATTCGAGGCGCGTGCCGCCCAGCAATCAACTCAGACTGCTACGAGCTCGTCAATGACCTCGGCGCGCCTGCGGTTGATATCCCCGCTCCGCAGGAGCTGGGTCAGGCTGAGACATCGCCTCGCCCATTCGCCCACGCCCACCGCCTGAGCGATTGCTCTTCCGCTCTTCCACCACTAGCGCGCCCGGCGCCCCGAGCCCGGTCGCCGTGCTGGACCCGCCTGCCGAGGCCAGTCCAGCTCGACGAAGACGACCGGGACGCCCAACGATCAGCCGTGTCAGCGCGCCAGGGGGCCCGCGAAGACGCCGCTGCGCCCTGCCGCCACTGGCTATAGTCACGACGCCACGTCGCAGCGGACCCCCCCGCGGCCGCCAGGTGCCGTCGGCGCAATCGGCGCAGGGGGGGGCCGGGCGTCAGCCGCGATGCGAGTTCGCCAGTCTAATCCAATTCATAATTGGCAGCGGCTCGACCCCCAGCCATGGGGGCGCGCCAGGCGATGTGCGCCAGGCGCCAGTCGCTCTCAGGGGATCTGCTGATCGCGCGAGGGCCGCGCTGCCGGAATGCCCGCAACGGCGCGCATTGTTCCGGCGGTCACATTGTAGGCCCCCGCGCCCGAAAGCGCGCGATGGAGGCTTGGCCGGGCGGGCCATCACTGCTGCTGCTCTTGTGAGCACGATGCGCCTCGTCACCGCGTGCATCGGCCCTCGCTTTCGCGCGTTTGTTCCCCTGCCTCGGCGGTGGAGTTTGTCCGCGACGTCTGTCTCCATGAGAGGGGTGCGCAGCGCCTGCGGCGGACTCAGCAAGGCAACCATATCCTTAGTATTACCATGTATATTATTCTTCGTATCGATCAATCATCTCGAGCGGTCTCCACTTGTCCTTGGACTTGCTCCACATCTAGTATTTTAGGTAATATACAATAAAAACATTCTGACCGGTGCCTTCTCCCAATCGCTGGGCGCCCCATCCGCGCGACGGGTCGCGCGCCGCTCTATTGGACGCGCTCAGGTTGCCACGCGGGAAAAGCAGCAAATATCACAACAGATGCCCGTCGGCTCGAACATGAAAACTCAGGGGCGACCACCAAACTTCAACAGAGACAACAGCCTCCGGCCCGACGAACGGCGTCCCCATATGCTTCACACCCAAGCGATTGCAACGCGCTTTCGAGCGCAAGGTAGCCGTCCTCCAAGGGCGAAGGCAAAATCATCTTACGCTCGAAGTCGCTCGAAACCAGACTGTCATCCAGGTCGCCATGCATGACGGCGCCTTCTTTTCGTTTGACATAGTCGATGCGTCCTGAGTCCGCCAACGGAAAGACCCAGACTCCTCTGGAACGCCGGTCGAA